ATAGATAGATAGATAGATAGATAGATAGATAGATAGATAGATAGATAGATAGATAGAAAGACAGATAGATATTTGGCAAGAGATTGCAGAACAGCTACAAGTCCCTCATCCTAGGGATAGTCAAGCTGGATGGGAAGGTGATATATGAAATGATGAACTGACAATGTTACCAGTGGTGGGTCTTCTAGGTGGTTAGAGGAAGAAGAGGTTACCATAGGCTCTTATGATCAGGGAATGATTTTTGGAGGAGGCGAAGCTTGAAGCATAGGTTGGACTTAGATAATGAGAGAAGGCAAGGAGAGAGGCAGAAATTCCCAAAGGCATGTATGGGAAAAAGTTAGGCAAGTCTAGCTAGTACCGAAGACCTACATAGGTCTTTAGAAGGAAACAATAATGACCTTAAACCTAAGAGAAATAGGTTGAAATGCTAGCTGGAACATTTCCTAGTTATGTGGTTCTGGGCATGTCATGTAACCTCTCTGAGCCTCAAATTCCTCATGTGTGAAATGGGAATATATGATAATATAAATCTATAAAGGGCTAACAAGCCCTTCCTGGCAGGGTTGGGAGGGAAATGCTCAGTAAATTTCAAAAGGCTAAGGAAATTGGGCTGGAATGGCAGGCTGGAGTATGGCTATGGGAGGGCCTTGAAGACTAAGTACGTGAAGCCTGATGCATTTGCACTCCTTCGTGGCTCCTGAGCAGTCAGCACTTGACAAGTGAGTCTTGGTCCATCAAGCAATAGTAATGCATCCCAGGTGCCAGGAAGGCCTTATCCCTGGGTTCTACATGCAGCTGCATGGCCTCCTGCTGCTCTGCCTTAAAGGCCACGTGTTCCAGGCCCTGCCTTACATGTTCACAGCCTGGAAACTGAGCTCAGGATTGTTACAATGCTCCTCATTTAAATATAGTCAGCAAAGCCTGTAATTTGTTACTGTTCTTCAAACCATGGCTGCTATAATTAGAGCTGGGGGAACAGCACCTGCCTAAGAAGGGAGAAGCAAGGAGTTTGTGCTTAGCTTTCACTACAACTAATGTCCTCATGGAGCCAGGCAGAGCAGGGAAAGCCCTGGGAGCTAATGTGATAAACTGACCGGAGCTGATACAGCACTCTGTTCCTGGAAGACAAAGCCGTGTTTTCACAAAAGACCTTCAGGAGACATAACCCCCTTACCCTGCCATTCTTGTTTCCTTATCTATTAGTTGATCTTTGATTTTCCTCATTTGTGTGATGTGGATACTACTTTGGGGAGGCATTATGGTACAATTTGAAATGTGCTGAGGACTTGGAATCAAATCCCATTTTGGCCTCTTACTACTTATGTGACCTTGGGGGAAATTGCTTCACCTCTCTGGGACACAGTTTTTCATCTTTGAGGCAAGAAATTTGGACTACATGATTTCTAAGGTCCTTTCCAAGTCTAGAGCTATAATTTATGACCTCCCTCAAAGAGTTCTTGTGAGGATAGCACTTAGCTAAGATTAGTACCCCTATTTGACACTTAAAATACTTGGCTTGCTGTTGCTGACTAAGTTGAGGTTATTGGCTATCTGCTCAGAGCCTAACACAGTTTTCTATACAAAAATGGATCAAGAAATGTTTTTTAAAACGAATGTTGAATAAAACCTGATTTAGTGATAGCTGGCATCTAAATGCAGTGGACAGCCAGGAAGTCGCAGACTGAGGTAGGACTTTAAAATATAGTATACCTGCAATATGGTCTAGACTCCCAGTAGCATCCTCACAGTTGGAGCTCTCCAGGGTGCTGATACTAACGTCTAGCTCTGCCAGTTAATCCCAAATTTGCAAACTCTTTTCGTCTCCTTTGTATTCTACTTCCCTGAGAGTTCCAGTCCTTATAACCAACAAGTTCATTATTATACAGGGGGCTCCAAACCTTCAGTAGCTTAAAACTATATGAGACTTCTAGAATATGCTGTATATAAGAGTTATCACTCCTTTCTTCATAATGGCAAAATCATATCCAATGTACAATAAACTGGTCTATATTACAAAGTGAGCTCCATAATCTGATAGATGGTCCAAAGTAACATTGTTCCAGTGATCTGTCAGTGGAGTGGGGTGGAAATAACCCTAGGTATTGACTCAAAGGATCTGAGTTTTAATCCCATCTCTGATGCTTTCTACTGCAGTGTGACTCCAAGTCTTTTTTCCTCTTTTGAGCATAAACGCACTGTCCTGAACTGCAAAGTAAAGAGGTTGGACTATATGATACTTTTTTTTCACTCAAAATCCAATGGTTTTAACATATTCCACTTGTTTGTGAATGCCAAAAAAATGGGTATATTCTCCAATCCTTGAACATATCTCTAGAAGGAAGCTAACTGAGGGTCATTTACATTGCACATAGAAATAGGATCATTAAAGTTTTTGAGTTCTCTCATCATAAAAATTATAGTGAAACTCGCCAACACAGCAGGAAAAGTATCTACGTCTTGAAAAAGAACAAAGGTGGAAGTCAGCAGATGTGTCTTTCAGTCATTCATTTATATAAAGCAAATATTCCCTGAGAGTCATCTTTATGGAAGAGATGCTCTGCAGGGTATTAGGGGAGACAAAAAGGGCTAAGCCAAGTGTCTGCCCTCAAGGTGCTTGGGGAGATTATGATAAATGTACATATGCACAAATAATTACATTTTCTCCCTACTCAGCTGAGAACACCCTTATTTGTTGTGTCTTATAATCCATCATTTGAGAGTTGAGCCACAAGATCTATTTGATATTTAGCTCCTGGAAAGCAGAAAGGTAATAATTTGTTATAATTATAACAAAATTATGTTATAATAAAATAATTGGGATTCAAACTAAATAATTATTTATTAAGCACCTATTGTGTGCAAGGCACTGGATATACAAATATAAATATGGAATTCTTTGCCCCCAAGGTGTTCCCATTCTTCTGGATATCTGATAACAGTTATTTATGACAAAACATGATCAAGAGTGGACATTTTTGTCCCCATTTTTTCATCTCTTCTGCCTCTTTAGGTTTCTCTCCAGGTTTGATTGTTTTTGCCTTCCTTTGTATCCTTAGAGCCTAGTTCAGTGTCTTACACATAGAATGTGTTTAATAAATGCTTCCTGACTATTCATTCCATTCTCCTTTATATCATAGTTATGCATGTTCCTCTTTCCCTGTTAGATTTCAAAATTCATAAGAATGGAGCCTGTATTGTAGCTCCCATTATACTGCATCCTGCCCAGTGCTGTGCACTTGGGAAGCACTTAAAATGAATTGAATTGAACCAAAATAAATTGAACTAAAGCCAACATTTGTTCAGTCAGATGTGAAGCATGCTACTCTCTTCTCATCTTGTCCCTTGCCTCTCCCTCAGCTGGAACACTCACCTGCTTTGCCTATCTGCACAGCCAGCTTGGTGAGCTTCCCCTGTAGGACTGATTTCTCCTTCTTGTGCATGTTGGCCTTCTTCTTGTCATCTCCATCTCCCCCCTCGGCACTCTTCAGAGGCTGCATCTCCATGGCCGCTGCCCCATCCTGCTGTTTGGCTACCAAAGTAGAACACAGCACCATCACCTTGAAGTCCACTTCAAGAACCCCACTCTGTTGCATAGCTGTGATGTCAAGGAACTGCCCCCTCCCTAACAGAAATGAGCCTGAAGCTACCCACAGGGACCGTGCCAGGAGGCAGGATAAGGAGTCCTCTAGGGGAAGCACTATAGATCTAATAGTTGGGCTAGAAGACTGTGGTAATTCAGGCAGAGTAGGGTGAGGCCTTCTCAAGGAATATGTGATTGACACCCCAGGCAGAGCAAGGGATGCCACCATGCTTGGCCAATACTATTCTAGGGAACCTTGAAGGAACTAGGAATAAAAATGTGGTTTTCTAGTGGGGAGAGTTCATGTTCCTTGTCCCTCCCCATCCCTATCCTGCTCAGAAACTCCATCACATAAGTTATGGTCATTGAGACCATCCTACATGATAGGAACTTGATCTCAGCCATGTAACTCAGGAGATATGAATTAATAATTAATAATTAATTCATTAATAAAGACAAGATTATTTGTCCATAAAGCATTCAAGGCCATGATCTCCTAAAGCTCCAAGAGCTCTAGCATAGATCCTTAAGGAGATGTTTGCTATTCAGAAGGCCCAAAGGAGAGATCAATTCTAAAGCCTAAGTCTACTTTCTTAGCCCAAAGAACTTAGGAAGCAGCAAGGGCATAAGTATCCACCCCACTTAATTCTTAACAATCACTGTCTCCACTTAAATGGATGCATCACTGGCCTATGGACATAACACATTGACTTCTATTCAAAATGGCTTGTTTCACGAATCAGATATCAAAAACCATGTCTCTACATCCCATCCAGAGCAAATCTCTATGCTTTTCTCATTCAGAAATGAGAACAGAGACTTACTCAAGCTGTGCCCCCAAAACAGTGCTATAGTCTAGGCTGAGCATTCATGTCTGCTCTTAGGACATCAGGTGATGGCCACCAGGGATGAGGGAAATTAAGGAAAGATTGCCTATCCCTAAGTCCCATTCTCAGACTTCCTGCCATCCTGTTTTTTTCAGCCCCTAAAGTCAATGTCAATCACATTCTCAACCAGGAAGACCTGATTGATGCTCCGACATTATGTCTGTCCTTGGACCACACTGGGCCATGAACAGCTTCCATCCAGATAAGCTTGCAGAATACCAACCAGAGCCCCTCATCAAAATAAGTAAAGAATGGAGGCTTGGGAAAACTTGATGCCTGGATTTCTATGTGGCTCAGATTTGTATTGTCAGTATTTGTTCAAGTCAAGTCTGAGTAACAGCTATACCCATAAAAATGCTACATGTCCTTGGATAGGTATGTATGTGTCTGGCAGACTGGCCTTCACTATGAAACCAATCTCTTTCTGCCCTGCTTTGAAGTTCATATTCTCAGGAAGGGGGCTTGGGCCACACATCACATACCACAACCTGGTTAAAATGGAAGGGTTACCTTTGCTCTGGCTGGTGTCCATATTGCCATCCTGCATTTTACCTACATGATAAAGAATTTTAACAAACAACAAAGAACAGACAATATACGGTCATCACACAGACAGAACACTGTGATGGACATTTAAATCAAAGACTGGGTAATGAACTGGTTTCAGGGACATCTCTTGGTTTATGACTTGTGAGAGTACATGTCTAGCTAAGTCCCACACAGCAAAAAAGGAGATCATTGGATATCCCTTTGGAATTGGGCAACATATTCTCATTCATATGGGGTCTATGCATGTCTTTCTTTGGGAGGTGATGACTATAGTCTAGGGAATAAGACCCTCAAATGAAGTATTTCTTTATCTCTGATACGACGTACAGTTGCCTTTAAATATCCCCATGGTCACTAGAAAGTTTTACCAAGTTTATTTACTTAAGATGAGTATGCCATCTACTGCCAAAAAGACTTGAGGTGACTTACAGATGAAAACACAGAGCAAGATAAGATAAAGAGAAAACAGATTATGGCTCATATGAAGAGAGAAGAAAGAACAGATATTTTCAGGCATCTGAATTAAGTGGATTATAACACCTGGACAATAAAAATAGCTCTAGTTTTCCTGGCAAGTAAGGCAAAAACTGAAATAGATTATAGAGTTTTCATCTTTCTGATAAAAGAAAAGCAGGTACATTTTATTTTCAAAGTCTTTTTGTCATTGTGGTTATTGGTTTATTTTGGGTTTTTGCTCCTGAACTGGGACAAGTTATGGTTTGGAGAAACATAATTCATAGCGAATTCAAAGCATGGTACTTCATGCAGTTTCCCATTGAACAGTGATTGGTTTGAGATTTCCCCCTTCCTTCCTGGTTCCTTTAATCCCCCTTGTACAGAAACCCATGAGCAGTGAAGCAACCAGAGGATGAGAAACTGAATGGAGAATTAAAATACATACATGGACATATATATATATACACAAGTGGATATAAATGTGTATGTATACACATACACACATGTATATGTATATATGCAATGCACCAGGATACTCCACACACTGACCAATGAGCCAAAGGATAATTGAAAGTTGCCTGTATACACAGCCTTCTCTATCTGCCACTGCACCAAGGCATGACTTTGCTGATAAATAGCTATGATGATGTTTTGTGGGTTTACCTTGTCACCAAGTGAACAGCTGTCCAGAAAATGCGAGCACTAAAGAGACTATGAGCAATTGCTGCCTGAATTGCTTCTATTTTTTAATCCATCAAGTTGGTGGGCCAGAGCAGGGGACCTTGCCATGGCTGGCTCATTTGTCACAACAGGTTCCCACTATTCTCTGTGATTCTAAACTGTAAAGTGCTTGTCACATTCTGAATCTTGAAAGGGAGACGACAGCACCGTCTGATGTATCCCTAAGCAGGCATGAACTTTGTAGTCCTTACTGGATGCAGCCTGACCACCAAAGAAGATACCACATTAGGTAATCAAGATGGGATCAATTTGCCATGAGGGTCAGGGCAAGACAGAAGCACTGGGCAAAGGAATGTGGGTAATATGACTGAAATGTTCAGGTTACTCACTTAACTAGACAGTGTCACATTGGGTGGGGAAGACTGGGGTTACACAGACAACACATTCAAAGTCAAGGTGTATCTAGACAAACAAACCAAGGCCCTATATCAAAATAGATAAAAGGAACACATCCTCCCCAGTTTGCTGATCCACCAATATCAGTGAGGGCTCATGAGACAAACTCTCCTAGTCATCAATGACATGAGAAGCATAATGGTGGAGAGAAGAGGGTGTGAGACTTGGGTAATCAGGTTGGGATAGTCATTCCACTAGGATATAGTCACGGAAATGAGAACTGGCATAGCCTAGAAGGGATGGTTTATGACTCTAGAGAGGGGGATCAACCTCAGTTAACTACTTAATGAGCTACAAGACAAAGAGATTCCTTTTTAACTTCAACTAAGTCACTTACACTAGATTATTCTAGTCAATTACATGTTAAGACTCTAACACCTCACATTTGTATCATTGCATTAGTATATATCTTTTAAAGAAATTCCCTGCATATTATTTTCTAGGGCAAGAAAAGACTTTTGAGAGACAATCTTGTCCTACTCTCTCATTTGACAAAGGATGCTGGATCCCAGAAAGGGGAAGATATTTACCCTGAGTGACACAGCTACTAAGTCTCAGGTCTGAGACTTGAACTTAGTGCTGCAACTCCAAATTCATCCTTTTTCCCACTGTGCAACACAGCTTTCTCTAGTCAAAAAGTGATATAAATTTAAAAGTTGAAATGACAAAAATAAAGGAATTGCTTTGCCATTTAACATTTAAACTTTAATTTATTTCAATGTATGTGCCTTTGAATCTGTGACAGTTCACAAAAATTTGCCACAAGGGAAATTTCTTAATTATCCAGGTATTAGAAGGACACTGCATGGCTGTCTCTATTGGCATTCTTCAAAGACAAAAATTAGGAAAAGAGCTTTTCTCTTAAGTGTCTGGTGTCCAGGCCTACCCAAATAGTACTAGGACATGTGTCCAGAAAGGGTATGTGGCTGACATCTCCTTGCTCATCATTCCCTTGACTTCTCCATCCAGTCCCTGTGGCTTTCCTCAAATCATTTCTTCTCTCAAATGCTCTGTTATCACCTTCATAAATTGAGGGTATTGGATTAGATGACCTCTTAACATCCTTTCCAACTCTAAATCTATGATACAACACTGCTATACTTCCTCCACTAAATAATCAGAATACAGTTTTGTTAAATGGTTTCTTGAGTGCTCCAGGGTCCTTTGGAAAGGATCCATTCCCAAAGGAGTTCTATTTCCCAAAAGACTCACTGGAGAGGGGAATGAAAAGGAACAAGAAAAGAAGTGGTTTCATTATCCCAGAAGACCAGGACACCAGATTACTTCAGGAATGGCACAGAATTTGATATTTGAATGCCAAGAAATATGCCTTCCTGGGCTTTGCTTAAGCCTTGATAGATCAGAGATATTTCTATGCCACTGAGATGAGACAGGGGAGAGAGAACTGAGGACAAGTTACTGAGAACTGTTTTCCAATCTGTCTTTAAGGGAAGCAGTTCTACAGAGATAGGCCAAATAAAAAGTAAGAAATTCATGATACACTGGATACATCACCAGAACAGGATTCAGAAGACATGAATTCTGGGCCTTGACACTAATTGTGTGGTGAGACTTTGGGTAAGTCAAGTAAACTCTGGGCCTCAGTTTTACCATCTATAAAACCCAAAATGATATTATCTGCCTAACTTCAAGGGAGAGAGGTAGCATAGTATAAAGTAGAGAGGGCATGTTTAGGAGTTACTGTGAAAAGGCTTTTTTGTGAAAAAGGCCCATGATGTACCAACTCTGTGACTCTGGACAGGTCACTTAACCATGCTCTAAGATATTAAGTCACAAAAAAAAAATGCCAGTCTGAATAACTAGGAGTTGTGACACAGTCTGCACACCAGAAGTTTCCTATATGGTTGAAAACACAGTTCTGGTCCCAAAGCAAAACAAAATACTTGCAAGATGATAAATAAATTTTATCAAATATTTTACAATTCTCAGAGGTTATTGTTTATTCCCCAGGCGATATTTGGGAATTCCTTTTTTAAATGGTCAAATCTACAGAATCAGCAAAGAGCCACAGTTTGACTCTGGGATGTCATATGCAAGGAACCTTGGCCAACTGGTGGATGGTTTGAAACCTCTAAGGATGATGCAAGATAGAGAAATCCCCTGATGGACTTCATCCTTTAGCATGTTCTCATCTGTCACAAAGTACTCTCCTCCCCTTTCCTTTTCCCTCCAGAAATCCCCAGTCTCTTATCAAAGAGTTAGGAGTATAATTACACACAGAGAAAGAATTTGCTTTGCTTCCTTTGAAAAATCCTTCCTCTAGAAGCTGCCATCCTTTTAGTATAAACAATTCCAGGGGTGAATTTAAAAAATCATGCTTTTAAAAAAAATTATGCCTGCCTAGGAAGAACAGACTTCAATGCATGATTTTAGGAGGTACAAAGGGCTTTTGATGGCACTGCATAGTTTCTGATTTAATAACTCAGTGTGCTCATTAAAACCAATTCATTAATTTCCTTGTTTATTTCCAGTGTTACCCACATGGTCATGAAAATACTGGTAAACATGTGTTCTTTCAGGAAGATATCAGAGAAGAGGCAAGGAGAAGTATGTGTGGACAGACAAACACTGCTAAACATTTGCTGTTTTAGGGGTGGAAACAGGAGCTTGGGGGAACTTCCTTTAAAATGCCACCATTTTCCAAAAAAACCTAGAGCTTATTATTCACAGTTCTCTTTAGTTCCCTTTAGCCAAAATGATCACTCGCCCAGACACCGCTAGGCTCTATAAGAAGGAGGACCCTGCATCTGGACAGAAGAAGAGGTCTGTTTCTGATCCATTAGACTGTCAATGAAGCTATGTGCAGGGAGCTAGGCCTGGTGAGAGACAAATGTCACAGTGCAAGGGGACAGAAGACTGGGAGACTCCATTGGTCCCTGGGACAGGTTTTGCCACAGACCCAGTCCAGAGGCAGCTCAAACAAGCTCAAGAAGAAAACTTTTAAAGTTAGAAAACCAAGGTTAGGATAGCCTAGGAAGTTGCATAAGAGTTGAAAAGCTGAGCTTTGAAGCAAAGGAAACTAGATGTTCTCTTGCTGGAAGCTGAACGGCTCCAGGCAAGAGATTCTTAGGAGAGGTGAGTCACCTTTCTCCATTGTCTAAATTCATTCCCATCATGCTTAGCTTGGTACTAAAATGGACTTTGCAGGCTACTCAGGTCAGACAGCCTAATCCCACAGTGGGCATCAAGGTCATATTATTATCTCCATCTCTAAAAGGAAATTCATCATCTGTGTGTTTTGGGGAAGCATGTGTGTGTGTGGGGGGAAGGTTTCCAATAGAATCTTCAGCGGATTTATATTAGAATCTGCACCTCTAACACTCACCCTTTGCACAACTGAATTAGACCCTGAAGTCTCAGCACTTTTATCCTGCATAGTTTCTACTACAAATGGACTGCCCTCCTTCCTCAAATCCACTATGCTACCCAAAGCCACAGGTCAAAAAGCACAGGGCCTTACTCTCAGTTTCTCAAATAAAAATGTGTGGTCTTGGGCCTTTAAAAAGAGAACAGTGGAATTGATCCATAACTGTGGCAGGCTAGAGGTAGAATGAGGCCGGAGGGGTGGGGGGGCCTGGCACTGCTGGCATCTCTGGAGGTCAGCTCCTTAGATCCCAATGGCCATCCACTGAGCATTACACCACCGACTTTTCCTCTGTCCAAAACTACCCATCCTAGACTGGTTCCAAAGCTACAACTCATGCCCCAAGCATTTGGGTCTCCACCCCTGGGCTTCACTGCCCTCCATACACATTCCCTTGAGAAGGAATTTCATGCTATTTTGCTGAACCATAATGTGGTAACAGGCACTGCACTCCCTGGGAGGAGAACCAAGGAGAGAGTTTCCTTTTCTACGAGCTTTGATCTTGAGCAGAGATTGAGTTGGAGCTTGTAAATTGCCCCCATGAGAATGAGCTTCCTGTAAAGCTTTTACTCCCTGATGCTCTGCATTTCTCAAGCTTTTTGTCAACTTCAAGAGCTTCCTTCCATGCTTTTACCACACTCACCACCCCCATAGCTCCCAAATTCAAGGTAAGTTTACTCTAACTAAAGCCTTACTTAACAGCTGCCCACTCTCAACCAGGGAACCAGACTTCACAGCTTACTGCAGTCACAAAGGGGACAAGCTCAGATCAACTCCCAAAATAGCATTCTAAATATAACCCACAAGGCCTTCCTTTTCCTCTTGTCTCCAGGGGCCACGTATCTTTAAGGAGCTACTGAGCTGCCCTTCAGTATCAAAGGGATTCTCACTTTCACTTCCTGGAAGTGGGCATGTCCAAGGGTAATTCTGCCACTAATTGCAGCTTCCACTGGCAGAGAGTACATCACAGACCCCACTCCTCCCTTTTCCTCCATCTCATTTAAGAAGGAAGGTATTAAAGCCAAAAGAAAACCTAGATTGTTTGCCTCCTCTTGTCTTCCTCTGGCTGACACCCTTTCAGGGAGCCATCCTTAAGAAGGGGTCCCCTCCTCAGCGGAAAGGGAGGGCAGAACTAAGAACTCCTCAACCTACATCTTCATTCCTTTACAAAGACATGAGTGGAGGGTGGTGGGGCTGGTTACAGCTCTTTTCTGACATGGATCGTCATCCGTCTCTTTCATGGAAATTCAGTTAAACTTTCTGGAGTAAACAGTATCTTACTTGAAGCAAACTGAGCTGCCCTTAAACTTCTGTAGAGTGATACCTTCCCCCAGAGCCTTCCACTATGTCCTTCCTGCTGAAATCCCCAGCAGAGCTGGCTGAATCAGTCAAAGCAACCCATCCCCACTTTCTTCTACATGATGTAACGCTGAGGTAGGAAACTCATTAACAGCTGACCTCTCTCAAGGAGTTTGCATCGAGTGAATACTGGGCAGCTGGCCAAAATTCATGCAGGGATCTCTCCACCTGACCTTGCAATAGCCTGTATAGATTCAGCAGACACTTTCAAAGGTGTCACAGGCATATACATATTTCACAGCCAGATGTGGCTGGAATGTTGCAGGTGATTTCCCTAGGGCAAACATGGTCTGACTGGACTCAAAACAATGAATATATCATAAGAGAGCTGAAGGAACCCTCTTTCTCAGCACCTATAGCTTGGTTTGCCTATGACGCAGGTAGCTGAATGGAAACAGGATGGATTTTGTTTAAGAAAATGGTCATGGATTGGGACATACCTGGGAGAATCTCTGCTTTATCCTGCTCAGTACCAGGGTAACCCTCCTTAAACTCTGCTTTGCTTAACAGTCTAATAGGTGCACAGCTTCCATGAATCATCTCCCTCAGTCCCATTTCCAATACCATCATTTGGCCAGTCCACAAAAAGGATCATGATGACTGTGGTCACCTCCAACCGGCAACAAAGCTCCCCTTCTTCATTCCTGGCGTGCACTGAAGCTCCTGAGGCCTAGCCACCAATGTCAAGGTCAAGACCACCCATACCCAGCAAAATTTCCACCCAGTCTCCCCCTCCCCTTCTCAAAAGGTGCTCTAAAAGAATGCAGAGTTTCAGGAAACATATACCGCACAGCACAGCCAACAGCAGATAATGCTAGTCCAGAATCATTGAGGAAAAAAAACAAAAACAAAAGAAAGAACTACTTCAGGGCCTAAGCTAAGTGTCTACTCATCCATGATTTGAAAGACTGTGAAGAAAGGTACTGGCTAAGTATCAGCATGCCACAGGATGGGGTCACGAAACTGTAGGTGAGACAATATCAAAATTCATTGAGGTTGTATTTTGGAGTGAAGGACCAGAGCCCTTGATGCTTAACCCTGAGGCCAAGCCAGAAGCATGGGCAAATAGATGAACAAAGGCATCTCTCCCTCACAGACAATGCTCATGGGTGCTGACACTCAGAAGCAAGAGTGGCCCATGGTGTGCTCATGCTGCTTCAGAACCAGATTCCTGACCCCGGGCCATTTATTTCCCAAAGCTATGGTGAGACTAAGTAGGCTTATGAGAGTGTCACGCTGGGAAAAAGGAGCATATGTTGGGGGGAGCAGTTTGCAAGGGCTTAGTGATAAGATTTTTTTCACCAAATACTCAAGTCAATTTCACTGCCCCCCTCCCCCCACCTGCTCCATTCCAAAGCCACAGCCTCCTCAAAGTGGCACTGAGGGCCAGTTTGAGGAGACGGGCATCCTTTTAAAAGCAGGTGGCTCTAGGTGCAGGTTGAGCTCTCACTGCGTGTGACTTCACCATGAGGGTTGATAGTAGCGTGGCCCCTCTTATAAGCTACTGTCAGAGTGTAGAGAAGAGGCACTATCCCAAGATAACACATGCACATACACCATGTGTGCTGTTGAGAAGAGTAGGTGAGCCAAGAGAAAGAAAAGAGAGAGAGAGAGAGAGAGAGAGAGAGAGAGAGAGAGAGACAGAGAGAGAGAGAGAGGATTGGAAGAGAAGTCCACCAAAGAAAAACCAAACGCTCAGTATTCTTGACGTACCATTGACTAAGCTGGAATTTGCATTATCGGTGGTATTTGCACCTGCTGCACCATCTGTAGCTGCAGGAGGGTGGGAGGGGTGGGAAGAATCTACTGAGTAATAATGGATAAAAAGAATAATACGTAGTAATAATAATAATAATAATAACATGAACAAATTCACATGACAAAATAGCAACATTTATGAAATTAACATGGCTTTGTTATCTTGGGGAAAAAAAAAACTTGGTTGAAAATTAAGTAACATAAAGTTATAAAAATGAGATGCCATCACAAAAATGTCATAAAAGCCAGGGGGACAACTCATATATGGAATATCTTGAAAATAAATATGGAAAGGCATTCAGTGAAGGCTGGAGAGGACAAACATTGTACAGCACTGGGTCCCACTCTGCTACAGATGCTTGGGATTGCTTTGTGTGGAGCTCTAAGTGGTTACCCAGAGATGGAACGTCCTTTTCCCAACTACACAGCTTGGCTCAGTTGTGTGAATGTTAGCCTTCTTGATATGAAGCTACATTAGAAACAATTCCATCCACACTTAGGAGACATGCTCCTGGGTCTCTTGATGGGGTACACACTCCCAGAGTGACTGGACAACTGAGAGTAGCTCAACTGTGACCTCGAGCTTCTCAATTCAGTCCCAGCTAACACCTTATCAGGACAGGCTATAGTCACAATGAAGCCAGCCCACTCCTGGAATTTCTGACTAGGGTCCAATAAAGGGAGCTTCAGATACCCAAGAAGCCAATGATCCTAAGGTTAATGATTAAGCTACAAGGTGGTAAGTTGCATTTCACTAAATGAAATGAAATAAAATAAAATATAGGAGACTTGCCTTCAACATATTTATTGGCTCTGGTCACTTCATTTTACTTCTCAAAAAACATCAAGGATTCCAAATTTACACCTTATTTCCATTCCTCAAGCGGGCAAAATTAATCACAAGGGGAACATTTATGTTCCATAAGTTAGGGTGATATGGTGTGTGGTTTTGTATAGTGGTGTGTCCTACTATGTAGCAGTATGTCATACTCCATAGTGAAATATAGGTGTCACTCTGTATGGTGGTGTTGGGATATTACAGTATATGGTGGTGTATCATACTTTACGGTAGCATGTTACACTGTGTGGTGTTGTACGGTTTATCACACTGTATGTTGGTATATATATACTCATCTACTGTTATGATATGCAATATGGTGATATGGGCTGAGACTGTCACATGGCATGGTCATATATTTAGGTTACTGTGTTGGAATGCATAGGTAGCATGATCAGTTATGTAGCATTGCATGGTGTTGTCAAGTGTTGGGTAGTGGCTTATAGCATGGTGTGGTTATATGTGGGTCCTGTATGCATGATTCTGAGTCCCCTGGGGGACGGTGCTACTATTAAAAATGTCAACTACCCTGAGGCATTTCTTACTGTACCTGGAAGCTGAAGGCCATCCACTTTGGTCACACCTGTGTGATGATTTTTAAAACATATTAATGATGGAGAAATATGTCAGCT